TGAGGTGCCCAAATTGCATCTCCATCTTGCAAGCGGTGCACCACGAAAAGTATAGCACGTGGAAGAGATCTTTAATTCAATCAACTTTGCATAGACACTATACAGAAAGTATAGATGCCCTTGTTGAATTGTGACGTGGTGTTTCGCCTTTGATACTCTATTGCATGCTCTCGTAAACACGCAAATATTGAGCGCCAATTCAAAACCTTCAGTAATACGAGTCGCACGTCAAAACACCCACTGTCCACCCATTCAGTTTTATTATTGCAATTTGTTGGATAGCGTTGAGGGGAACTTGTTCTATAGCTTCTGTTACACCCCAAGTATACATGCTAATAATGATTTGGGGGTTATTTGTTCAATGGCTTATGGGGCATTAACCATTGAACAAATAACCCTAAATCATTCTTAAAGCGCCAAAAAGTACCTGAACATTGTTTACTTTTTTCCCACCTAACATGCTCCATTTCGTATTATAGAATGCTTATATTTATTTCAATTAGCTGTATTATCACTACAATGGAGGATCCTCCATTTTCTATTGGCGAGCCGCAGAATTCACCATTGGCTGACATCTTAAGGTCGACTTTAGACTGTAACAAAATTCTGATGAAATTATGCAGATAAGTTCTTACTGAATCGGAAGACCAACTTTATGAAGACTGAGTAATTTTTGTCAAATGGTTATTTCGGTCACTTCTTCGAAGCCAATTTCTTTTCTGACGTTTTTCCCAGTATTTAGGATAAAGCGAGTGTTTATCTTTACAAGCTATGCTTCTTTCCACTCAAAACTTCAAAGTGAAATCATGATTTTTCCCCTTCCATTTTCATCATTGATGCACATAAATCTGTCCCGAATGGAATCATAGTGGTTGCCGAAACTAAAGTATTCGCAACAGACTGACTTTAAATCATATTGTGTATCTACTCCTTTTTATATACCATCTAAAACGCACTATGAAACTTGAGTACAGTATCGTTTGCGCCCAGCTCTAACCCGCGAGCGGCCTAAGAAAAGAAGTGTGGAGTTGATGATACTAAGCAGATGAAGGGTGCCGCGTCGGTAGCAAAACGTTCGCTTGAGGAACTACTGGAAATTTTATTAAATAGCAGAAAAAAATAGTATTTCTTCCTACAGACAGTTGAAAGATTTCCGAAAAATGGGCAAAGGTATGGCTTACAATTCAATTGCCATTCATTCAGAATTTTACACATTTCTGCCATTCTGACGAGCGTAACTGGATCAGCTATCCTTACTAACTTCAACTATTGATCCTAAGAAAATTCGTACATTGGCATTTAACT